CATTTGCAAAATGCTTCCGACGGCTATGAACCATGCAATTACTGTACCATAATGATTAAAGATTATGCTCCCATAATATGAGTTTTTCTATACTCCACCATGGAGGTAAACTTTAATCAATCTTGTACAATTATTTCTATAAATAATTTCATATCAAGTTGAGGTTGAGTTTAATAAATTTTACTTGGATGAAAAAAATAACATTCTAAACGTTGATTATACGTGAAAATACAAACGACATTTTAATTTGACATTGAAAAGATGTTGAACTTTAACATTGAAAAAATAATAGGTAGGCCTACTTTGAAACACATAACACATTTTCAATGTTGATTTTACATTGAAATAAAAACTATATTTAAATTTAAAAATATTGAATAAATATATAATTGTAACTGTCATGTTAAAATCGCAATCCGATTTCAAAGTGAATTCATTGTTGAAATAAAGTTTGGTAAAATCTTAAACTCTGAGTTGAAAACACAACTTATTTTAAATGTTGCTTATACGTTAAAATAAAAACTATAATTTGAATTAATGTTGTTACCAAAATTTTAATATCTCAACCAGTTTTCAACATTTATCAATTGTTGAAACAACGGTGAGTAAATAATGGGTGCTTTGTAGACACAATACATTTTCAACAATGATTAACATTGAAAAAGGCAGGCCTATGTTTAAATTTAGTAAAAGTTATTGCATAATTACATTATTATAGCACCGTTAGGCATTGTTCTTTAAGTTACTAAGTAGGTCATGCAATCTACGCTCTGATTTGTGGTCCATATGCTAATGAAGACACTTATTTGCGTGTACACAAAGGACTGGTTGTTGACGCCCCTTCATTTTAGCCAAAGATTACTTGTTAGCGCATACACCTTAAGGAATTAAATATTCGCGAGGGAAGCATAAAAATGAGAAAAGAATCCTGTACTGGTCAGTAAGCAACAAACTCTTACCCTAGAATCACCGTTTTAAGGAAGTTCAGTCAGTCAAAATACGCTCATCATTCAAGATGGTCTTCAAAGTCACATTGCTCGTCTTTATCAGCATGGCCATTATATTATCGGTAAGATAACCTTTGTCATTTTATCCACAACTGTTTGTTTCAAATGTATAGGTCATACATTATTTTGTCACACTATTGGGCCTATAATAGATATATAACTCCGTGTTATATACGTGCATAATGTGCACTGACGATTTGAAATGTACATAAATAAGATCCCAAGATATGTTGTTATATATATAAAAAAAATCTAATCTTTTTCATATGAGTATAAAAATTGAATTACATTTATTTACGTTGTTTTTTTATCTATTTAAGTGAAATGCATCTTCTATTATGAAAATACAATAATTATTATATAGATTAACATTATTATATTTAGAGCATGTTTATATTATTCATGAGTATTCTCCTAATAAGACATTTTATTTCTGTAATTATTTGAGAAGCTTAATACGTAAATCGAGATGTGTCTCATGGTTTACCTTATTTTAGCTGCAGGTCGCTAAGACTACTAGTCAGTTAAGAGCCCAAGCCTCAGAGTTATTATTTCTGTTTTAAGGACGTTGATGATCGATTTTAAAAGTTTGTTTTTAACAAGATTATCATTGATACAAAAGTAAGCCTATCATTAACATTCAAGACAAATTCTTTAAAATGCTGATAAAATAGTACCGTAGCTACTAATATAGCTTTAACTGATGAAAATGGTATTGTGACTTCATTTCATAAGTGCTCTTTAAAATAAAACGAAGATTTAATTATGTCGATTATTGATAATTCTAAAGGATTTTAAAATCGGAAATACTACACAGGAATGAAATCGTCCAAGATGATAAAGTCCTACTAGGCCTATATTTTTTGTTAGGAATTTAGCCCTGCAATATAAATAACGATGTGACTAAGGAATTTATTATTGATGGCCTTATGTATCCACCACTTAAGGAGTGATCATAATGTCTTATTACTTGGGCCGTACACTATAATTGACAAAGAAACATCACTTGAAAAAAGGGGCTAGTACTAATCGTTGTTTACATATTATTTTATATTAGTATATAGATCCCGGTTCTTAATAGGCGGTCCGCTGGCTAAATCTGGCCCGCGGAGCCGTTAGATCTGACCCGTGTGAAAAAATAATACTAGAACAAATGATGATTTTTTAAAAGTAAATCATTTGATAATAATTTTCCATTTTTTTTTCCAAAAAATGTAGATAAAATATTCTACTTTTAAGTCTCAAGTATAGAATAGACTATAGGTCCTTAATTAGACCTTTGAGACGCCTTTGAGGGAAGGGGAGTCTAAGGAAGGGGAAGAATAGCTCCCGTCGGGAAGAGGTCAATAATTCTATTGAGGAGGAACACTGCTTTGAAAAAGCAATTTTACCATCTGAAAGCGTCTAAATAGGCCTTTTCTTACCTATTGGCTCCCCAACCCCCTTCAGAAAATTTCTGAGTCGACCCTGCGAATTGAATCACTCACCCATATTCAACTTGCACAGCATATTGTCAAGAATGTTTTATTTACGAACAACGATAATGACGTATTAGTTATCGTTTTCGTAAGGTTGCGAAATCTCCTTAAATACTGTAATAAACATAATAAACATAGATTATGCAGGACACGTACGTTTGTAAGTTGTACAAACGAACGAACAAATTATCATTTGTACAAAATTAACATAAATAAATTGGGGAAAAAAGTAGAATACCAAGACCAAACTCACGACCTTACGTTTTTTAGCACACAATTTTAACTGACCGCGCCATTCATGCGACATGTTTATGTTTAGAATATTTATTTGTACAAGAAAAAAAAAAACATTGTTTAGAATGATTATTTGTACCAAATTAAAATACTTGAAATTGAAAAAAAAAAAAAATAGAATGCCAAGAGCCGTTTCGAACTCACGATCTTAAGTTCTGGAACACCCTTAACCGAAGGTTGCGAGTTCTAATCGCGCCTCGGTGTTAATTTTCCTTTTTAATGAGAACTGTTTGACAAAATGAAAAAAATAAATAAATACGAGATTCAAACTTCCTAAATACGCGATTCGACTTCGATACCAACTGCGCCATTCATGCGACGTACCGTACACTATTACGGTAGTGGTAAATGGTAGTAATGTACAGTCCTTGCTGAAACCCCTGTTTTGTTTTGTAGGTGTAGGGGGAACCCTGGGGTCCAACTTAAAAAAGGGCGATAAACACTTGTTTGAAATCACCTCTAGTTTATGTGTACAAAATTTCCTGCACTTTTTCCAAGCGGGCGACGCTGGACGCTTTGAAAGTTTGAAACCCCTGTTTTGTTTGTTTTCTAGGTGTAGGGGGAACCCTGGGGACAATCTTAAAAAAAGAGCGATGAACGTTTGTTGGAAATCACCTCTAATTTATGTGTAAAAAATGTCATGCACGTCCGTCCAAAACTGGCGACACTGGACGCTTTTAAATTGTTTAAAGTTTTGGTTACAAGAAGAACAACAGCAACAATAACAGTGAGGCTCTGGGTCAGCGCTTCGTGCGGACCAATAATAGAACAATATTATTTCTCCTTTATTTATTGACATTTCAAATTCATTAATAGTTATTATTATTATATTATTATATGCATTATGAAGTTGAAGATGCTTTGAATTTAAAAGAAATATTGTGCCGACGTTGATATAGGCCTACTTTCTTAATTTCAGAACAAAGGAGCTGACGCTCAGGACGATGCAAACCGTGAGTATAAGGCAACTTACATATATAACATATAACATTACATGATTTTCTGCTTTTACAGTAACATACCGGCACTAACGCAAGAAGCAATAACCTAAAACGTTTATATGGATTGACATTCCCGACAATTTTTAAAAATCAACGCAGGAGAAAAGGCGAATGTTCAGTTCTGGCTTACAGTAACACTCGCTCACAAGAAGCTAGGGATTTTTATTATTATTATTATTTTTACTTCTATTGCACTTATTCAAACAAAAAAAAGTGATCAAAGTGCTCAGGTTGGAAAAAGTAACTCAGTCCCAACCATAGGGAGGTTGCTATACGAAATGTTTGGATATGGTACTAGATGGACGGAAATGACCTAAATCGATTATCGTTAACAAATTTTTCAAAAGTATTTAGTTTGTTTACACCCACCTCAACAAATGGACATAGCGCCGAAAAAAGAAAAGGCTATTGACCCTTGCTTTGATTGACTGCAACAGATTCAATCCAAATAATTATAAGAAAAATATTTGTAAAGATATGAAACATAGAGAAAAATATCGCTGATCGTCGCTGGTGATTCACATTTTCATTAGCTCAGTGCTAATCCAGTGTGCTCATAACAAATCTCATTGCCCTCCTTCCGTTATTCTGACCTAAATTTGCTCATTGTTCATACAATTAACACCAAATTCTTAGGCCCCAGATAATTTTTATTTTTAGCTACCCCTCCTCGGAACTCCCTCCCTAAAAATTTTGCCAAATCACCCTCCATTGCTACTTTTAAGACAAAACTTTAAAAAAAAAACCACGTTTTTAGCATCTAAACATACGCAGTGCCGTCGAATTTTACTTCGGTTTAATGATATTGGCGTTTTATAAATTATTATATTACTATTATTATTATTATTATTATTATTATTATTATTATTGTTGTTATTATTATTATTACAGAAATTATTATTATTATTATCATTATTATTTATCATGTTTCAAAATATAAATTGAAATTATTATGTTTCATGTAGAGGATTGTTAGTGATTTTCCATTTATAGATTATATGTTTTCTACGTAACGTAAAAATATAAATGTTCACAGCTGCTTTTAATTTTTTTTTTCCATACAGCTGATTGTGTTGATAGTAACCCAAACATCTGCAAAGGATATAAAGCATATTGTAATGCGCCTATATTTTCTGTAGACGCCCATAAAATGTGCCCGAAAACTTGCTGTGCCACCGGCTGCTGCTCGTAAGTAAAATCTTATTTTCTATCTCTCTCACCTCTCTCACACATACACACACACTCCTGAACCAGTGGC